AACCTTTTTATTTTTTATTTTGAGACAGGGTCTTGCTAAGTTGCTTAGGGTCTTCCTAATTTGCCAAGGCTGGCCTTGAACCTGAGAGCCTCCTGCCTCAGCCTCTCGTGTTGCTGGGATTATAAACATGCACCACCATGCCAAGCCCAAAATGATTTTTATAATCAAGAGCAAAGATTGACAATATTTTTTTTTGGTAAAGAAACAGATGGTAAGTATTTGAGGTTATGTGATCCAATGGTCTCTCAACTACTCAACTCTGTTGTTACAACATGAAACCATCCAGGAGACAGGACATAAATGAATGAGTATGGCTGAGTGTTCCAATAAAACTTTATTTAGCCAAAGAGGAAGCAGGTTGAATTTGGCCTATGAGCTATAGTTTGTATCCTCTGGTACAGAATTTCTATTAATGTGAGAGAGTTTGAAGTTAAAATTTTGGTTTCAATAAGGTACAGTATTGTACCATGCAAGTTGCTGTACTTGCAAGTACCTTGCTTATTCTCATGCAAATTAAATATATATTTTAATCTTTAGTTTTTTAGTCCAACATTTCTATAATATAAATACAGTAAAGATGACTAAATCCATTAATAATTAGACAATTTCTCTTAAATGCTATTCAAAAATTATGTACCAAGCTGAAAAATATTAGTTTTCCAATTCCTTAATAAATTTGTAAATAAAATGTAATAATTTTTCTTGGCAATAGAAATAAAGACTTTATAGAGGAGTTTTTAAAATGACTATCAAGTTGAATATCCATTATCACCAAAGTTGACTCATCATTAATTTGAGTTATTTTTCTGGTTTATAATTTAAAAGGTTTTATTTGGATATTTTGATTATATATATATTTTCAGATATAACTTGGATTAACAACACACATATTACATAACTTAGGAAAAAATGACGTAATTGAGTGTAAATTATGGCTCACTTAATTAGTACATATGTAGGCAATCCCTCTGCATTGTCCAAGATGTTTAGACCAAATGATTAGTAGGTATATATAAACTAGTGACATCTCTATTTAACACATGAAAAAGGAGAAAACATCATTTAAAATTAAAACTGTTTTCTCAGAATAATTCTAATTTTAATTCAAGCATATTCCTAATTCTGAGTATAGTTTTAATACTCAACAGGATTTGATAACTAACTAAAAATTTACTGATAGATGGTAAAAACTACGTTAAGCCCTGTAATGTTCCTTTCAAACTTTTAGTGAATTGGGAAAGACTGTTTAAGACAAAGACATATAGAGACGGGGCCTAACTCAACATTAGACTTTTTCCTTCAAAGATTTTTTAAAATTTCAAGAGGAAAAAATGATTACTTCATAGTCTAGATTGTAAGCCTAGTTGGAACCAAGGCCTGCAGAGCTGAGGTGTAAAATGTTAAAAATCTGAGATTGACTCTAGTCAAAATAAACAAACAAAAAAACCCAAAACTGAAAAAAAAAAAAAAAAAAAAAAGGAAAGGAAAAGCTTTGTTCTGAAAATGTGTTCTTTAATGCAAATAAAAATTCACCTTCCAAAAGGAGAAATAGAGATGAGTGGAGGTAATTTAGTTTTTTTTGGAAAGAAAAATATTGTTTCTTCTTAGTTTACAAGCTCTGAGAATGACATCTCATTCTCATTGTGAAAAAACTTCTAGGACCTAAGATATTCATAAAAATCAACTTGAAATACTTTTTTTTTTGAAAGAAGAGGACAAAAAAGACCTTAACTTTTAAAAAGTGAAATAAAAAAAGAGGTCTCAGTAATTAGTCTTTGATTTCAGATATTTTATCTACTTACTTTTCTTTTTTTAAAATTCATATATGACAGCAAGAATGTATTACAATTCTTATTACACATGTAGAGCACAATTTTCCATATCTCTGGTTGTATACACAGTATGTTCACACCAATTCGTGTCTTCATACCCATACTTTGGATAATAATGATCATTACATTTCACCATCATTAATTACCCCATGCCCCCTACCTTCCCCTCCAACCCCTCTGCCCTATCTACAGTTTGTCTATTCCTCCCATGCTCCCTTCTCCCTATCCCATTATGAATCAGCCTCCTTATATCAAAGAAAACATTCGGCATTGGGTTTTTGGGATTGGCTAACTTTACTTAGCATTATCTTCTCTAACTCCATCCATTTACCTGCAAATGCCATGATTTTATTCTCTTTTATTGCTGAGTAATATTCCATTGTGTATATAATGCCACATTTTTTTTATCCATTCATCTATTGAAGGGCATTAGGTTACTTACTTTTCTTCATAGCTTTTTTGTTTGAGAAGATAGAAACATTCAAACATTGAACTTATTCCACAATATGTATTATTAAGAAAACTCTGCAATCTCTGAAATGGAAGTAATAAATTTCCTACAAGTAAGCTGATTAAATTAGTTGGAATCTTCTATGAATTAGTACTAGGAGTGAAATAAAATTATAGAATTCAGACTATAAACTTCAGAGGACACAGAATGTCAAACATTCTTCTGAATAGCATATGTGTAATTATCAAAAATAATGCAACTAGTGGCTTTTGGGTAATGTGGTAAATATGATAATAACCATAGCACATATTTATATAGTGTATGGCTCATATCATCCTCAGCACAACTATTTTACTATTATTAACTTATAAGCACTCTGTGAGAAAGGTATTAAAATTTATTCTTCTCATGTAAGAAAAGAAATACAGAAGTGAAAATATCATGCAAATGGTGTTTTATTTTTGCTGTTACTGCTCTTGTTAAGTGAACATCTTTACACATAATAACTGTCTTATCTGACTAACACAATTAATATGATCTGGCAGAACACACAGATTAAAATGGCAGAATTCAATGTTAGTTTTCTTCAACAGTTAATCTACCTCACACAGGGACTGGATAACTCTTAAAAAGTGTTTCCTTAAGGAATGATCAAATTATGTTGTATGCATATACAAATATGGCAAAATAATTCCCAATATTACTTATTATAATGTACAAGTAAAAATACATCTAAAAATGAACAAAAAGGTGTTTCTTACTATTATTTGAAATCTTATAAATGGGCTTGCTAATTTCTTACATAATCTCTTATCCAGATTTAGAGATTGAATACAGTTTGGCAGTACAATCTAAATATCTATCAAAGATGAATGGATAAAGAAAACTCAGTGTGTGTGTGTATATATAATATATATATTATATGTATATATGTATATGTGTATATATATATGTGTATATATATGTATACACACACACACACATATACAACATGCCATTCAGCCTTTAAAAATGAAGGAAATTCTGTTATATGTGGCAACTTGATGAACCTTGAGGATATTATGCTAAGTGAAATTAAGCCAGCCACAGAATGTCATATACTATAAGATCCCACTTACATGAAATGTATAAAATAGTCAAATTCAAAGAATCAAAGAGTGAAATGGTAATTACCAGAGGATTGGGGGTCACTAATCAACTGCACGAAGTTTCAGGCCAGCAAAATGAATAAGCACTAAAGGTCTGCTCTACAACACTGTATCCAATGATAATGTCCTGTAGACTTCAAAGTTTGTTTAGAGAGTAGATTTCAGGGTAATTGTTCTTATCACGAATTATATAAAATAAATTATTATAAAGGAAAACATGATATAAAAGGATATACCCACAAGAAGCCTCCAATTTATTTCAACTCTATGTTCTTTAACTATTGCAACCAATCCTGTATGCATGTGAAAAGTATCTTGAATGATTTCTTTTGAACCTCTTTAGGGGTACATATATACCTCCAACTGAAAAGGCAATTGATTCCTTTGGGCTCAGAATTTTCTCTTTAGAAGGTTAGACATCATCAGGAGTTTGGATGGAAATAGTTTTAAAAACACCCTGTGGTAAGATGCTCAAAGTTTTACTCCCACACAGAATGTTTTTGTGGATGGTTAATTTATCTGAAAAGGCTCCTTACCAATTATTTTTACTCTGGTGACAAGTTCTCCTTTATTAAAATGTAATGGTAACCATAAAGATGTGGGAATGTCCTTTGTATTATATCATATTTGACTTTAAAAGATTTAAGTGGGTGTCATGAATTTTAATTCACTTCTCATCTTCAACTGCCAACTATGGGCCCACCAATTATTTAAGTTTAGATATTATCCACCAAATTCTCTCATATGCATTATGTTTTATGTTATGTTACAGTATGTAACACAAGACATAGGTTATATTATATATTCATACACATATAATACATATAGTATTTATGCATAATATATGACATCTACTAAACATATAAAGCATGCTAAACATTATATATGATAAAATTATATAAGTATATAAAAATATAATATATTTAATAAAGATTATAATGAACATCTAATTTTAAGGTGTCTCTTAACTTGCATGTTATTTAAGAAGACCAAAGTTTTGTTGAAAGGACAACAAATCAACTTTGGCTTGTTATTTGCAGCTACTCACTCAAACTCATTAAAACCATATTATACTGAAATATGTATTTTGCAAAACTTTAGTATATAACTTAAATTATAACCAGCATATTCTGAGTTATGTTTTTGAAATGGAACTATGGCAGAAAAGCCTTAATTTGCTAACTGTAATGAAAGCCTTTAAAACCACAATGGTGTTAACAGGGAACATAAAGGGTGCATGTAAATCTCTACAAATATTGTAAGAAGTCCACAGATGTATGGCAAAAAATACTAAAATCTACTATCTTTATAGTAATGAGTGGAATGCTAAGTTGGAAGTTACTAGAAGACTAGCAAGAAATTATTCACTGTTCCTTTTGAGCTGATAGATGGAATTTATGTTTATAAATTTAACTATTAGGATGTATAATTATATATGAAAAATAATCTTAAGGATTTCCACTTCTATGAAAAAGGACATTTTAAATATCTTTAAAGTTTATGTTAGTATATGAAAGCTACTGCTTCAGTTCATGGAAGCACAAATTAAAATTTTCAGAAGATACTTACCCTTTTCTGTTCTTTTACATATTCTATCAATTCATCTCTTGTTCTTTTCACTGCCTCTTCTACAGCCTTTTCACTTCGCTTCTGTTCTTCTATTATTGCTGCCTTAACAGTTTCCTGTTTGTGGAAAGAGGAAAAACTCAGCAAGGTAGTACCAAGACATATTTGTGTCCATTTTATATAAACCAGAAATACTCTTCAGTAGGTGGGAGCTCTGTTCAAAGCTTACCTTTAAACAGGAGTATGAACTTATAAAATCTTTTGGGATCTGTTACAGATTTCGCAGAACTCTTTCCTAAACTGAGTTAAAGGGAAAAGAAATGGAATAAGCCATTTATTGCAGGGAGCGCCTGACAGACTCCAATGGCTTCCTTACCAACCTTTCATTTGATGTTTACATGATTGATTGCCTTCCTGTACTTTGCACTATCCACATAAGACTTCCAACTTGTGTTTATTCTTCCAAGAACACCCTAATGCTGTTTTATTCACGTTTAATTTTACCATCATACAATAATCAAGTGTGGTCTGGGTGGTAAGATTTACAGCTAGTTTGGTTCTCCTGCCAGGTTAGGATGTTGGGAGCTGGACACCATGAATAGAGGTAAAAATTCTACTCTGTGTGCTAACATTTGAAATAGAGACCTAGGGAAGAAAAAGGTATTCCCCATATTAATGAATTAGAAATCAGGTACCTAAGTGCTTTCAGAATGGCAGACAAAGAGAAAAAAGGCTAAAATCCTATAAAAGAAATGTAGCATTTATTAAGAAGTTGGAATATTCTTTGCTAAAATAGTGCCTCATGGGTTGAAATGTATATTACATAACAAAATTTGTTTCATTTATTTATATAGGTCCTATCCTTTATCTGTTAGAGAACAAGAACAATTACAAAGTGCTTTGAAGTTTCTCAGAACATTTTCTTCATTTTTTTATTTTTGAGGGCTTTCTGCTTCGTGTGTTTATGTTTTGCCATCATTTCCCCCAATTTTAGATATGTATAAATGACCCATAAAATATAAAATAATATTAAGGATTCACTATTCTGAAAATATCTACTATTTTGAAAATAGAGAAAGCCACAAAACAATCTATACATATAAGTGGACTTAGACATCATGAAGATAAGGACCTAAGATGTACATACTGTCTAACTCTGACATGTTTAACTTAAAATATAATTTGAATCCTTTTTTAAGCTATTAGAAATTATTTTATGATTTATATTTAATTACAAAGTTGCATAATAACTTGTTAACTGTTATTCATGGGTATTTTAGTTATTTTAAATAAAATAAGAAGCATCCATATATGTAACCTTGTGGTTAGATATTTATGTTGAATCAATTGAAAACAATTTGGAATTATTTGGCCAATGGATATAAACTCTTTATGGCTTCTGACATTTTACATAAATTTTTTTCCCATAGTAGCCCATGAGCATGCCTATTTCTTAAAAGCCTTGATTACATTTAGCTCTATCAGTTTAAAAAACCTTTGTTTATTTGAAGGACAACAGCATCTTATTCTGCATTTTAAAAAGACTATTATGTGACTATTATTAAGCACTCTGTTGAAATATTGGCAATATACATGCTGCCTTTTTTTTAGGTCCTTGAATACTCACTCTGCCCACTCTAATTTTAGTATACACATCATTTTTGGGATTCCCTTCCTAATACATAAAACTATGTAACAATGTTGAAAGTATATATAATGGTTATTTTGAAAATCATTACTATTACATTTCCAATCACTAAATACACTAGCCTTTAGTTCCTTTGATAAAATAACAGAATAACACAATATGAAATAACACAATAACAAAATAACACAATAACACAACTTGAAAAAACATAAAGCTGAAAAATTATAGCAATTAAAAAAATGCAGACCAATAACATTAGTTAAAATTAAAATATCTGCAATCACAATTCTTTTTGATGTTTTACAAATTTGTAATTTGAAAATTACCAAATTTAAAAAGGCCAAAAATGTAATATGTGTTACTAAACCCTCTGAAATAAAACACACTAATAATTCTGTAGTGAAGAGTATGAATATTTACATTATGTGGGTAAAAGTATAAATTACTTCATATCAGTTCAGGTTGGGTTTTGCCACCCACTGAATTACAAAACTGTAGTTTTTAAGCCCTGGGCAATTCAGAATTGTAGATAACCGTGCACTAGGATTATTTGAATGTAAAAGATAAATCCATCATATATTAACTATCAATCAGAATTTCTATCTAACAAGGGACAGATCAATAAATTTGATCAGGCCTGTTTGAAAATGATGGTTCAATTTACACAATCGTGCTGTATCTGAAAGAAAAAAGAGTTAGCTATATGTCTTTCACCTGACATTTTTTGGGGAGGCTGAGAGTATATATTATCTTCTCAGTCCAAATATTTGAGGATCTACCATTTTTGAGCTGGCCAAGTATTGCTTAGAAATTTCCTTTGGTTTTCAACTCCTCAGTTGGAAGTTAAGTAACACTTTCGGTTGTGAAGTTCACCCTGAAAAACTATTAGTCAATAAATATTCATTTGAATATAACACAAAAATAAAGTTTAAGCCTTCTATTCTCTAATCAGACCAAATTCTAAATTAGGTGGCATTAACTAATTTGTGTGCTTGCATATAAATGCCTGTGAATATCTGCCTGAAGATTTTATTGATTCCATCCATCGCTGAAGTATACTGCCCCTAAGTCATGAGAAATTAATCTAATATAAAATAGTCCACAAGGAATGAGGAATGTCACCAGTAAATATATGTAAATAAGCAAACAATATTTTCCAGAATGTTTTAGTGATGGTAATACCATTTTAACACAATCTATTGGGTAAGGCAGGGTTTCTCACTCTTCACACCACTATTGGTAATTCTACCCTGTGAGGGAGTATCTGTGTTAAGCAGAACACCTGCTATCTACCCATTAGCTGGTCACCAAATGAGAACTACAAACCTAAGGTGAGTAATTTGGAGAGAAAAACATTCAAGCATATAATATACATGCTGTTATTTATCTGTTAAGATATATTATCACATTTATTGTCATGTTTTAAATATATTTTTACCATCTAAAATATATGCAGAAGTATAATGAAATGGTTACATCATGAGTTTATAAATGTAGAGAAAGTTCTTCATACTAATGTTTTAAAACTAAATGACTAAAGTCAATTTCTATAACGTTATGATAAAGTAGGTCATATTAAAAGTCATTTAGCGCTGAAAGCTTATATGACATTTTGTATAAGATTTTAAAATTTCTCCTTATTTCTTAAAAGTGTAGTTTTGCTCCGGCATCCATGAAATCCACCATACATTTCAGTAATCAGAGAATCACAAACCAATAAAACACCTGAGATTGTATACTTTTTATCAGTGTAATTTTGCAAGACTATAAAAACAGTATTTATGGGAAACAAATCTCAGCAATCAACTCAATTCTGGTCTGTGGCTTATAAATCACATGATTATGGAGCTGTTTAATTTTCTGGGGAAATCACTTACTTTATTTTTTTAATTTTTTTGTAGTGGGAATTGAACCTAGGGGCACTTTACCAATGAGCCACATCCCCAGCCTTTTTTATTTTTATTTTGAAACAGGGTCTCCTAAGTTGCTTAGAGCTTTATTTAGTTGCTGAGGCCGACCTTGAACTTGTGACTCTCCTGCCTCAGCCTCCTGAGTTACTGCAATTACAGGCATGTGCCACCATGCTCAACTTACTTTATTTTTTGTTTACAAACACAATGTATGCATATTATCTAATTATGTGTCATATTAAAAGTTGAACATGATTGTAGAAATGCATCTTAGAAAATCAGTGACAACTAAAAAGGAAAAGAACAGGTATTACATATTATACCCAGTTCTGATTTGTGGTTGGTAGCAAGTTCTCTTCATATGTTCATTTATCAAATTATTTTCTGAATATCTATTATGTGTGGGAAAAACGTCCAAATACTGAAAGCTTTTTTGTCTTTCTCTTGATGAGTTTAAAATTTACTTGCAGAAACAAAATATAGGTACACAGGAATTAAAACAACAGTATAAAAAAGTAGATTTCAAAGACACTGTAGTTAATGAGTGCTGGTGATATTAGTTATGAGTTTTATTTAAGGAAGGAAGTGTTGATGTATCCTATGGTTAGAGAAGGACTTAGAAAACAGGTGGGCTCTGACTTGAGATTTAACAGGTGCTTCACAGTAGAAGCATGAGGATGAAGACTGAGGGAACAATATTAGTAGGCTATATTGAACACTATTTAGAAACAAATGCTTATATGACATAAGAGCATGAAGATAAAACCCAAATGTATGTTTGAGACTGCTGGGTGCAGATGAAGGTTCTTATGAGAGAAATGGAAGGAAAGGAAGCTGGATAGTGGGAAGCCTAAAGCTTAAAGAGCTACCAGTATTGGCATGTGCACTGATGCTGCCCCAACGACTTGTACTATCTTTCCATGAGCAAGCAAATGCACCCTTGGCTCATACTCTACACAGTCATCCTTGCCTCACCTTAAATGGTATATCCAAAGTAAACAAGTTGGCTCTTTATCATGGTCTCTCAGAATTTACTCTCAACTTAAAACTAGCTGTAGGCCCGGAAAAGATAAATTTCTGTCCCCTTGCTATATATGAAGAAATATTACTTAGATAAACAGCACCCTGTGTTCATGGAGATCAGCTGTGATCTAAGGATACATATGCCAGAAATCTGTGTCTGTTATGCCAATGTATAAATAGAACAATTTCATGTAAAGTTGGGAGAAAATCTTCTGGAGTTTCCCAACTTTTATTCTTTCCTAAATTTTACTATTTTAAACAACTAACATTCATTTAGTAAACATTCATTTACTATTTAAAACAACTAACATTATGGATAGTGATTTGGAGGTATTTGATATAGATTGTTAGGCAAGATACTAGGAAATTGAGAAACATTTGTGTCTAAAATAAGCAACTCCCCAAATGAAACAAGTTTGTATAATCAGAAAAGTAAATTTTTAAGAACCAAGATATCTCTGTTCATAGGTTTTACTAAGCAGGTACACAGATTTAAAAAAAAAAAAGGTTTGGTTACTATATTTAACGATAATTTG